TTGATTCTTTCAGACGCATTTGTTTCTTCTAACTTTCTCCTTTGTTACAATTGCTCTCCTTTTTCAGACAAAATGTTTGATATTTTCGTTTTGTATTGTATTTTAATTTGAATGGAATGCGCTGTAAATCGTGTTGTTTGAAATGATTTGGATGCAGATTTTCTGAGTCTGAATCAATTATTAACTAAAATGCCAATGGATCCAAACGGACCAAACCCCAAGAAATCCAAAGATTCGCCATCAAACTCAGCTAACACCGAGTCAACTAAGTCACCCTCCCTATTCCCAGATGAAGTCCTGGAAAAAGTTCTCTCATTTCTAGACTTGGACAAGGACAGGAGTTCAGTTTCACTGGTTTGCAAGGACTGGTACAATGCTGAGCGCTGGACAAGAACAAAACTTTTCATAGGCAATTGCTATTCAGTCTCTCCAGAGATCGTGGCAAGAAGGTTTCCAAAGATCAAGAGTGTCACGCTCAAAGGGAAACCTAGGTTTTCTGATTTCAATTTGGTCCCTCAAAATTGGGGAGCGGATGTGCATTATTGGCTCGTCATGTTTGCCAATGTCTACCCCTTTCTGGAGGAATTGAGGCTCAAGAGGATGACTGTCAGCAATGAAAGCTTGGAGCTCCTGGCCACATCATTTCCGGGCTTCAAGGCTTTATCTTTGATGAGTTGTGATGGATTCAGCACAGATGGTCTCAAAGCTATTGCCACCCATTGCAGGTATGCTTGTTGTTTTTCCTAATCTTTATATATATAATTTTTTTGTTTGTCATGATTGTTGCAATTGGTTTTTTCTTTTTTCTTGAATTTTCAAATTGTATGGGCTGTAAATATCTCGGATGTCTGGATATGGGAAATTTTTTCATTGAATGGGTAGTTTTAGAATTGTACATTCATGCCTGTTTTAATGCTTGTTAGTATGGTCTATCATGATCCCATTGCATCTTAGCTTTGTCAAGAGATTTTTTGTTTTCTGGATGTGCCAACTTTAATTAACTACATATAGTCTGGTATTGTCTCTTCTCAGTCAACCCTCGTTGTAAAGTTTTGCCTTTTCTTTTGTTAAATCTAGGCTATGAATTTGGTTTGCGTTTGAAAGCACTTGAAGCTTTTATTGATTGTTCTCGAGTTCTCTAAGATTTATTAGGCTTTATGGGTAACTTCCTTTATCAAATGAAAATCTTTTGTTTATTGATAGAAATAGTACTGTTTTAAGGTATTAGCAGTTTCTTTTTGACAAAGTGCATGACGGATATATTAATTTATTAGCATGGAGGAGGAAATGTGGCGTTGTGTATCCATGGATTTGGACTGGTTGAAAAAATTGCATTTCTTTGATGTGGGTGAGTAATAGATAATGTAGTTTTGGGGTAGGGAATTGGGGTTTTTGCTTGTTTCTTTGGATTTGTCTTGCTGTGAGAAACATAGATTTTAGTGGAAACTTGAAGTGCTTCTAATTTATTTTCCTTTTCAGTGGTTTTTGGTGTTGCATTCTAGATGTGGACATTTGAACTTTTACATGGCATTTAATGGATATCATTCCTTGATGTAACTCATGTTGTCCACATTTCCCCATATTCATTGGTCAAGGGAAAAAGCCATATTGCTGTGAATGTGTGGTGAACTATTCATTTGGTTTCTTCTTGTCGACTGCTTGAGATATTCATCATGATTGGACATGTTTATCCATTTCAGAGTGCGCTATTTTTCACTTTCAATTAATTTGGAAAATGGACATTTCCTCTAAATCTTGAAGAAGTGCTTAGGTTGATTAGACTTCAATTTAATCACTATGTTATAGTAGATATGCATGTTCTAGCGGATCCTGAAGATATGCCACTGTTGCTCAAAACGCAACTATAATCTGATTCTGATATTTTGCTTTATGTCTAATTATACCACAGTACTCTAAATTCTATTTTGAAAATTTGACCTTTGACATACATGCCTAGTGCTTAGCGTTTTCAATACACTAATGATGACAAATGCAACATGGCTTGTCAATGGATTCACTTGCATATGGTTTTAGATATGGCTAAAAATCTTCTTTTACTGGATTTGAAAGACTGACACCTGACTCTCCACCTTATGATCGATTTGACTATAATATTTTTGTCTTTTCACCAATTATCAGTTGTTTCCCCAATTATGGATCTTTCTTCTTGTCTTCCAGCACATTTCTTTCTGGTGATTGGCTGACTTTCATTACATATTGCTCCTAAATATATAATGTGGAGTTGGACTATTTCACAGGGGCAAACAAAAATCCCTGAACTGGACAAATCGGATCGGTCCTGAACTGCAATGTCCAGATGGATCCAGATTTGAGTAACAAAAACAAAACTGGTTTTCCTAGTCAATAACCTGACCGGTTTCCCATTTTATATTTTAGCTTTTTAGGTAAAAGCAAAACTTTTATTGTTACATAAATACAATAGAATGAACTCTTACACCCCTAACCTAGTCCCCCTTTTCAAAATGAAAAAAATGGTTGTATACTATAGATGTAAAAGCAAAACTTTTATTGGTACATAAATACAATAGAATGAGCTCTTACACCCCTAATCTAGCCCCCCTTTTCAAAATGAAAAAAATGCTTGTGTTATACTATAGATGATGTCCATCAAAGAATCGAATTTTGAACAGGTCAGTTCAATTCTTGGTGAAACTTTATAATGCCCACATACATCTTTGAGTTTTAACTTTTTGGTTGGCTGTTATTTAGCATAAGTCACTTGACTATCATTAGCCTTTATTAAAGTTTCCACTCTTGAAGTTGCTACTTGCAATATGTTTAGGATTTTTGGCCAAGTGATTTGTCCTTTTCCACTCGGCAATAAATGAACATTTCATGCAATCATGATAATCTTATGGTGATGCAAGTTTAGAACCTAGAAGCCCTAATTTGTTTGTTATCTTTACGATTACTGAACTTCGTGGATAACTTCTGGACTTGGAAGCCGTTAAATATTTAGATTTTCCCTCATTCTTCCCTTTACATCAACAACCATCTATTAACTCAAAGATATATAACATGCAATTGTACAAATCAGAATAAAACAAAGCTTCAGTTTGGAGTTTTTCCAAACAAAAAAATAAAAAGGTTATTTGAAATCAATCTTACGGTGCCCTTATTGTTTTTTATCTGGCTTTCAGGAACTTGATTGAGCTTGACATACAGGACACTGATACAGATGACTTTTGTGGTGGTTGGTTGAGTTGCTTCCCTGAGAATTTTGGTTCACTGGAAGTGCTGAACTTTGCCACCCTTGACAGTGAGGTCAATTTTGATGCCCTCGAGAGACTTGTTAGTCAGTGCAAATCTTTAAGGGTTCTCAAGGTCAACAAGAGTATTACATTGGAACAATTACAACGACTGCTTCTGAGGGCTCCTCAGTTGATGGAGCTTGGTACCGGTTCCTTCCAGCAAGAGCTTTTGCCTGGTCAATTGGGAGACCTTGGGAGTGCTTTCGGCAATTGTAAAAATCTTCGAACTCTTTCAGGTTTATGGGAAGTCACTTCCATCTATCTCCCTGTTCTTTATGCGGCTTGTGCCAGTCTGACTTTCTTGAACATGAGCTATGCGGCTCTTCGAAGTGTTGAATTTGGAAGTCTTCTTGCTCACTGCCCCAATTTGAGGCGCCTCTGGGTAAGAAACTGACATTTGAGATGTTTAGAGTTTCGTCCACTGGACCTCGGACCTCCAAAGCCTTTTCTAACCATGGATAGTATGTGGTCCTTGAAGACTTTCAAAACTTATATTTATCAACTTAGCTCTTTGTTCTTTCGCTGTAAATTAAAGTAAATGCATCTTGCATAGACATCTTGAACATAATTCTTATATGTCTGCCTCAATGATACTTGGAAGTGGTGGTATTTACTTTGTTGTTCTTTTAATTGCTATGATGGCGTCCATTTTTCTGGATACTTACAGTGCGTGTGAATTTGTGAAAAGTTTCAATTGTACATAGGACTGTGTATGGTCTTCAAACTCTTTGTCGTGATGACTTCAATCTTTCCCACCCCAAAAGGAAAAAGAAGAGAGGAGAGAAGAAAATCGGGACTAGTATGTTTTGCACTTAATGCTATAATACTAATCTCTTTCTTTCATACTGCAATAACTGACAGCAGCTCACTTACTGAAAGTGCAAGTGCTAATGTATAAATTATTCTTTCGATACAGGTCCTTGATACGGTTGAAGACAAGGGGCTCGAGGCTGTTGGATCCTGCTGCCCCTTGCTTGAAGAACTCCGGGTCTTCCCTGCCGATCCTTATGAGCAGCATCTTCACCGTGGGGTGACTGAGTCAGGTTTTGTGGCTGTATCTCGTGGATGCAGCAAACTCCACTATGTCCTCTACTTTTGCTGGCAGATGACTAATGCTGCTGTTGCCACCATTGTACAGAACTGCCCCAATTTTACCCACTTTCGCCTTTGCATAATGAATCCAGGTCGGGCAGATTACCTCACAAATGAACCCATGGATGAGGCCTTTGGTGCAGTGGTTAAAAATTGCACTAAGCTCCAGAGGCTTTCAGTGTCAGGCCTTCTAACTGATCTGACTTTTGAGTATATTGGGAAGTATGCCAAAAATCTCGATACTCTTTCTGTGGCTTTTGCTGGCAGCAGTGATCGAGGGATGCAGTGTGTTCTCGAAGGTTGTCCAAAGCTAAGGAAGCTTGAGATAAGAGATTGTCCATTTGGGAATGCTGCTCTTCTGTCTGGACTAGAGAAATATGAAACTATGCGGTCATTATGGATGTCGTCCTGTAATGTGAAAATAAATGCATGTCAGCGACTTGCTAGGGAGATGCCGAGATTGAATGTTGAGGTAATGAAAGACAAGGAAAGTGATGATAATGGAGCTGACAAAGTTTATGTCTATCGTTCAGTAGCAGGGCCAAGAAGGGATGCACCACCTTTTGTTCTCACTCTTTGATCGCCTGGAAAAAGAAAAAATTTCTTGCTTAGTAATTGCTTCTTCTAATAACTTCCTTGGTTAATGATATTCCTAGAAAATATTGGTCAGTTTGTTAATTAAATACTCTTGTCCAAAACTGTGGGTCGAGCGACTCTTGAAAGTTGTCTTTTTGTATCGAGTCGAGATAAAATTGTTGCTTAAAGAGTATCTTTGGACCCTCGGTGGTCGGTCGGTCGGTCGTAGAAATAAAAGAGTATTCATTAATGAAACTTTATGTATAAACAGTTCCCAATCGGCCTGCAATGACTTATTTGTCAGACTTGAACTGTGAGAATCATCTTCTCAACTGAATGAAATTTTGATGCTTTATTTCATAATAATTTTTTATATTTTCTTTATATTTTTAGTTTTATTTTTCTTGACCCTTTTTGAGAATCTCTACTATAGTAAAAAGTTTTACTCAACTGAGATTGAGATTAAAGACTCAGATTAGGATTGTTGCCCTGAGTCGAGTTTAGTTATGATGACGGATAATTAAAAATCGCAAATTGAAAGTAAGTTATTCATCATTGACGTCCATAACGTCTTATAATGATTCAAGAGATGATATTATTACAAAATTTTATGTATTTCTTTTATCTTTAATTCTTCATTATGGAAAGCCGTGAATGATTATGCTTTACCAACTCATTATTATGTTACTACTTGCAATATGACACAATTAATTGGATTTTCAATTCTTTATCACTCGAAGTTCTTTAGTGCAATCACTAAATTTTGATGCCTTTTTACGTGAAAAATGCACAAAGCAGTCAACACCACCACCCAAGTTCCTATAGGTTAGGTAATTTGGCAGAATATATTATAATGATAATTTGATTTTGGAATAATAATTTTTTTGGAGAATGTGTGGTTAAAACTGAAGGAAGAATTTTCGATTTACGTGTAATATTATTTTATTGAAATATGTGTGGTTAATAAAAAGAAAAAGAAATTATAATTTAATGATGGCCAAACAAATGCTAAATAAACATTAATTTATTTTCCTATTTTGGTAATGCCCTATTTAGGGATGTCAAAATAGTTTGCGGTAGCTCGGACTCGGTTAGGAAAAAGCCCGAGCTGGGCCGGTTCGTGGCTCTGTGGGATCGAACCGAGGCTCGGGCTGAGCCCCATTTTGGGGCGTTGGCTCGAGCAGCCCGCTTTGTGTGGCTCGATGGGCCCATCCGTGAGCCTAAAAAAAACACCAACTTGCCTGCCCTTCTTTTTTTTTTTAATTTTTTTTATTTTAGTTGTAATTTTTCCCTGGACGAGTAGCACTACTCTTTAGGTAAAAAATGCACAAAGCAGTCAATACCACCACCCAAGTTCCTATAGGTTAGGTAATTTGGCAGAATATATTATAATGATAATTTGATTTTGGAATAATAATTTTTTGGAGAATGTGTGGTTAAAATTGAAGGAATAATTTTTGATTTACGTGTAATGTTATTTTATTAAAGGATGTGTGGTTAATAAAAAGAAAAAAAAATTATAATTTAATGAGGGCCAAACAAATGCTAAATAAACATTAATTTATTTTTCTATTTTGGTAATGCCCTATTTAGGGATGTCAAAATAGTTTGCGGTAGCTCGGACTCGGCTAGGAAAAAGCTCGAGCCGGGCCGGTTCGTGGCTCTGTGGGATCGAACCGAGACTCGGGCTGAGCCCCATTTTGGGGCGTTGGCTGGAGCAACCCGCCCCGTGTGGCTCGATGGGCCCATCCGTGAGCCTAAAAAAACACCAACTTGCCTGCCCTTCTTTTTTTTTTTTATTTTTTAAAGTTTTTTTTAATTTTAGCTGTATTTTTTTGTATACGTTAATATTAAGTTATTATTTTTAATACATATAAATTGCACAAATTTTAAATTCTTTAAAAAAAATTTAGATTTTTCTTAAAAAAAAAAATCGTGCCGGCTCGGGCCCAACCCGACTCACTAAGGCCTGAGCCCAAAGTTCGGGTCGAGCCTAAATTTTTTGGCCTACCTTTTGCTTTGCTCGGCTCGATTTGGCTTGGGCAAAACAAAAACTCGAACTATTTTTACGTGAGTCGAGTCTGAGCAAAAAGTTTCGGCTCGACTCGGCTCGTTAACACCCCTAGCCCAGTTCGATTTAGCGAACATATTGTAAAGAAATTTGGTGAACGATACAATTCACAATTGAAAGAAAGGAATTATATTTCTGATTGCACTATATGTACATCATAACTTGCAAATTTGTTTATCAACGGATGATGTTGTGTGATTTGATTGGGTCAAAATTTCATCATACAAATAAATTTAAAAAAAAAACTTTCCTTTCTTGTGATGTCTCATCAATCTTTAAAAAATTATTGGGGTGGTGATGTAAAAGAAGCATTTTTCTATTAAAATAGTCAAATATTTTATGGATAAAAAAGTAATATAATTATAATTGAAATTTCAGGAGAAAAAGAAGGTGGTGAGTGTAATTTCAAAAGAAATAGGAAAAACATTGTCAAAGCGTTCGGCTCATATGTCACTGACCTTAAAGTGTCACGTGCCATCGAGGGCTAATTTAGTATTTTCAATGAATTACACAAATTTCGTTACTGAAAGAGATAGCGATAGATGAACAGACTCGGTCTTTAGCTTCGTGATAACATCATCAATACAATTCTTGTCTCTTCTCCCACCAAAACTCTGAAATCTCGCCGGAATCTGAAATCTTCGCCGGGAAATGGGAAGACATTTTCTTTCAAACAAATGAATTTCAACATGGACGAAGAAGAAAGCAGTGTTAATACAAGAAAAAAAGGATTGAAACAAGCTATTGAGAACATTTCTTCATTGATTTCTCAGTCTTATTCAATCAAGGTTTTTGCAGTGAAATGGCAATCCATAAGCGCAAAGCTCGAAGAGCTTCTAACCAACCTCACTGCAATTGAGGATTGTGATTCCAGTGAGATTTTTCCTATCTCTAGCACATTGGAGAATATTTTAACAACGCTCAAAGACTGCGACGAACTTGCCCGGAGATGCGTCGATTTATCATATAGTGGGAAGCTGCTCATGAAAAGTGATCTTGATATTGTATCCTCAAAATTGGATAGTCATATCAAGAGAGTTTATGAAATATATGCTCTTGGTTTGCTCTCAAATGGCTATGCCATAGTGGTTTCAAGGCCTAGTATATCGGCTTCTCGGGATGATATGAGGTTCTATATTAATGATTTGCTGTCCAGGCTCAAAATTGGTAGTGTGGACATGAAGAAAAAAGCCCTGGTTGCCTTCAATGAAGCGATTCAAGAAGATGACAGATATGTAAAAATTGCGGTTCAAATTGATAGTTTCATCAATTACTTGGTGAATTTTCTTGATTTTCAGGATAATGAGGTTCAGGAGGAAGCTACCAAGGTTGTTTCCATCATTGCAGGATTTCAGTCCTTCAGAGGAGTATTGATCAGGGCGGGGATAATTTTGCCATTGATTAGAGTTTTGGAGTGTGGTAGTGATTTGAGCAAAGAATTAGCAGCAATCTGTTTGAATAAACTCACAGAGAATTCGGATAATGTTTGGTCAGTTTCTTCTCATGGTGGAGTGTCTACACTGTTGAAAATATGTAGTAATGGGGATAATGCAGCTGAATTGGTTAGCCTGGCTTGTGGGGTGTTGAAAAATCTTGTCGGGGTTGAAGAAATTAAGAGGTTTATCGTTGGGGAAGGGGCGATTCCGTTGTTTGTTAAGCTTGCCAGGTCTAAAGATGAGATTACACAGATAAGTTCACTTGATTTTCTGCAGTCTATGGCTTACGGGGATGAATCAATCAGGGAGGCGATGGTAAAAGAAGGTGGGATTCGCGCATTAGTACGTGTATTGGATCCTAAATCATCTTTTTCATCAAAGACAAGAGAGGTGGGATTTAGAGGAATTGTGAATTTATGTTTCTCATCTGATGATTCTTTGAATATGCTGATCAATTATGGATTTATGGATCATATACTTTATTTTCTTCGATATGGGGATGTTTCAGTTCAAGAATTGGCATTGAAAGCAGCATTTTGGCTATGTGGAACATCGGAGGAGGCCAAAAAGGTAATGGGTGATGCAGGGTTTATGCCAGCTCTTGTTAAACTTCTCGACTCAAAACCATTCAAAATGAGCGAATTGGCAGCTGAAACGCTCTCTAGCATGGTAATTATATCAATAATCGGAAAAGATTCGTGCAGAATGATCAGAATGTTGGCTTGCTTATGCAAATGCTTGATCCAGGTAACGTTAATTCAGGTAACAAAAAGCTCTTGCTTTCTATATTGATGTCATTGACTAGTTGCAACAGTGCAAGAAAGAAGATTATGGATTCTGGCTACTTGAGGAATATTGAAAAGCTCGCAGAGGCCGAGGTTTCTGATGCAAAAACGATCATTCGAAGATTATCATCGAGTAAATTCCGAAATATCTTGAGTGGGATTTGGCATTCTTGAATTAATGTAATCCCATCTTTATCAAATTTTATTTTGTATATCTACATATTAGTTCCATTCGAGTAAATTAAATTCAGATAATGCTACTTATTTATGCAAAAGGGCTATAGAATATGATTTTTTTTTGTTTAGACTGTAACCATAAACATGATTCCAATACTGCTGTTTCGACAGATACGGTGTGTTATTTTAAGTTAGCTGGAATTCATGTATGGAATTGTGCTCAACTGCACATGGGAAGAGCATGAATTGGCGTACAAATTAACAAGATCTACCTCATTCTGTCTTTGTTTGTCTTTTCTCTTCTATTATTTCTGGGTTTTTCCATTTGTACCGAAAATGGATCACAATGAGTTTGACAACCTCTCACATGCATGCGTGCCCCGCGTGAATAAAAAATTCCAAAAAAATGTGGGTCTCCCCCTATTGTGAGTGTTCGGTTTGCCAACCATTTTAGATAAGTGTAGCATTGCTCATTATTTCTTGAATTAAGCTGAATGTACATAATGCTTGATATAGGGGTTAATCGATCTTTCACATTGCATGTGGGTCCCGATCTGAATTAAAAAAATGCCGACCTCCCCCACGTATGTGTGGTGTCATCCCCTATATCAAGCACTATGTTTGTGTAACACAACTCTTACTTCTTTATTGTGCATGTTTGTCTTGTACGATCTTGATATGATCGAAGAGTCATTTTCGTGGGTCCAAGCGAAAAAGAAGCTATATACTATAAGCATGTCGTTTTAGAGATCTTTGCCAAAAAAACTCAATTTCACCTCCTTCAGTACCAAGTAAACAGAAATGAAAGAGGAACATTGGAAAATGGAGTGATGGAGAGGAGTATTGCGAACATGGTCGCCAACAGCCGTGAGAGAGCAACATGATTAATTCTTGGATCAGTGTTGATGGAGAGGAGTTTTGCGTACATCGTAGCCAACAGCCGTGAGAGAGCAATATGATTAAATTCTTGGATCAGTGACAAAAATTAAATGATGGAGAAATTAAACCTTGTGGACCATTTGTCAAATTTATTGGTCTTGATGCCCTAATGTCTTAAACAAGATAATTCACCAAAATTCATGCACCACCTTCAGTTTCAACAACTTCAATGACATTTATTGGGAACTACTGTTTTTCTTGAAAACTTAGAAAAGACTTTTCCTATGTAGAATGTACAAAAAGTTTGGACCACATTAAATTTCTTGCATATAGGCAGGCGAATAATGCTAGTCATCATCCCATGTGGCAACTTATTATTTGAGACGTTAATTTCCTTTAATTTTGTTGTTTCAAATAACAATCTAATGTCTCAATAACAGACACACATAAAATGACTATTGTAGTCACTAATTATGATTAACATTACTCATAGGCAAGCAAATACAAGCCTTGAATTGGCAATGCCTAGAATGAAGTTAGGTATGGGATCTGTGTGTGTGCATTGATTTGGAGACAAGTCCATAGAACCTTGTAAAAATATATGAAGAAATGAAGAAAAAACTTAAAAGGGAAGGCATCAATGAATCAGCAACCCTAACAATCACAGATATACTAAAAACGAAAATGAATTCACAAGTTTCATTCAAGCAATCGACAGGTGACAAAAGAACAACATTTGTTTCTTTACACACCCTTTAAATACAAAGGTAAATCGATTCGATCATTGTATTGCAAATGAAAACCACCCTTCTGAATTAACATGACTCGATAAATTAGACAAACTTAGTAAAATAGTTTATTACAAACAAAGTACTCTTGAATTTATACCTCCCCACATATGCAGACCCGTTGGCCTATAAACAGATCGCCACAATCAATATTACGATTAATGGCATAGAATTTATCATTGGACAAGCCAAAAGTTTGTACAAAAAGAGCGCCTGTATCAACTTTTTCTACTCCCAAAACCACATAGCAGGTTGGACTTGAATCATTAGGCTCAACCGCTGTGAATCAGATTCAAAATGTAAATAGTATTGCAAACTGAAACATGAAAAGAGAGATTGTTCAAGTAAGACTGACATTGTTAAACAAGCATGTAACATATTAACTTTCCGCAAGCTCAAATCTCAATCAGCACGACACATAATATCAAAAGATGAATAAAGAATTAATAAACTCACCATGTATTCTTTCATGAGAGGTTGCTAAGGCTCGAAATTTATGGACTTTCTTATTTTTATCGGAAATATTGGACTGGCTAATGTTGTCATCAACATTTTCACCCTTGACCATCGAAAACAGAATAAATGACATAGTCAAAAGTATCAAGCAAACACAAGTAATGCAACTGTTTTTGCCATGTTTCTAAATCTTAGCTGGAATAATCTTAATATAGTTATTCCCAATACCTCTCATATGCACACGTATCTACTAGCATAACCCAACAATTGTACAACTACAAAATGACATTGAAAAGAACAATGTACAAGAAAATGTTAACATTTGAAATATACTCGTACATGCGTTCTTTTTATATAAGTTGACACGTATCCTGTATTACTTAGCAGATTATTTTAGGTGGTTCAGTTTCAATTCACTATAATTCTTTGTGGCTTTAAAATTTTGTTTTAGAGAATATGTAATTTTGGAAACTTTCTGAAAATGAATGATAAACTTCCTAAAATTTTAGACATAACTTAATTCTTATTTTTATGATTATAATTAAATCTATGTGTGGTTATAAAATAATATTATTCAACATTCTTGTTTTCTAGGAGGAAATGAAAGCAAAACTGAATTTATTGAAAACTTCAATAGTTCCAACATTCAAAATAACCTTGTGATTCTTTTCCACAAGTTCCAAAATGGAAGTGATTTTCTTGTCCTCTTAAGTTTATTCAACATTCTTTTGTTTTGAAAGAGGAAATGAAAGCAAAACTGAATTTATTGAAAACTATAGTTTCAAAATTCAAATTACCCTTGTGATTCTTTTCCACAAGTTCCAAAATGGAAGAGATTTTCTTGTACTCTAGTTATTGCTCCTTTCTCTTATTTCTATTGCAATAACCCCACTATTTTCCACCTAGCCAAGAATGTGCCAAAAAACAATGAAATTGCAATTCTAAACAACAATGTAAAAAGACAATTTTACTTTATTAATGATATGTATCTCATCGTGTGATTAATTGTTGAGATTTTACAGTATGTCTGGGTGTTTTTACCTACATTGGTAATCAAAAAAGGTTCATCCATATTTAATTAGGCAGTGATTAAACTCTTATCAATTATTAGGGACAGTGGTTATGAGGGAGTTCCCTCTGCCTCCACCAGAATTAATCTTGTTTAATTTTTGTCATCATAATAGTTTTTTTGTGAACAAGATTGTCATCTAAAAGAACATGTACACAAAATGCCACTTCATTGAGTATTCTTGCTTTAGATAAACTGAAGTGTTCAAGCCAAAACATTTTCTAACATGAAAAGGTAATAGACATTTGCTTGTCATTTTCTGGTATAGCAGCCCCTATGGCCCTAGAAATTCTTCGTAAGGAGATTCACTTAAAAATGTCGAAACGCTGCACAAAAGATGTGGAAGTTCTAAAACACAATTTTTTCCTCCCATATAAAGAAATAAAATCACATTAACTATAGATTCAATATGAGTTACATATCCAACTCGCAATTGTATAGAATTAACAGAGGAGTTGAGTTTCTCCTTAAAAAGTTTTTTGAGCAGAACATCCTTTAACATCATATCAAATACACCAACGAAAAATTAAGTGCAGAAAATTCTGGCCAAAGTAAAAGACTTTCAAGAACAACACACCTCCAGTCACGCCGAGTCTACCCCGTCCACTTGTTGTCGAGCAAGGTATCTTTCTCTTCTTTCTTTCTACAAAACAGAGTTCAGGAGAAAAGGGATAAATATAAAGGAATGTGAAAGTCAAAATCTTACAAGAAGAATTTCCTAATATTAAAAGATAGCTCACCCATTCATCGATGACAAGTCCTTCACCAATCAACTTCGGATTGGAGTCTTCTGGAGGCTTCTTGCGAGCTTCAAGTTCAGCCTCGGCCTCAGCCAATTGGCGATTTAATTTCTCTAGAGCCTTCATTAAGCAGATATAATCTTACAAATCAGCATTTCCAATGCAAATCTTTTCTTGTTTGTCTATAACAAATATATGCAGAAAAATTTGCATCCAACTATAGTAAGACGAACGTGATACATTGGCGTGCATAGTATTTAGGACAGCAGATTCCTTACGGGGCTAGGGCGTTCAACATCTAGAAACACAACTCGAAGTATCTGCTCCACCAACACTTGATCCTTCTGCTCATCAAACTGAGACAATACAACATGAACAAGATTAGACCAAATTGGAATGAAATTTCAAGAGAAATCTTCAATGCACAAATATAAGAGTTAATGAAAATGTGTGATCTCTATATCTAACCAATTGGTGACATACATGAAGCATCACAAATAAATACAAGCCAATTAGCACTGAGAAATTAAGTTGAAGTCACTTTTCTTTTGATGATAGCATTTCACAATAATGATGGCCAGTTTCTTATTGATATATTTCCTCAGCTGACATCACAATTCAACTGTAAGTCTAGAAATCCTACAGGGATATGATCATGATAGTTGAAAACTAATTTGAAAGCAGTGCAGTGCGGAAATGATAGCACAAGAAATTATCAACAGAAGAAGAATGTGACGAACCAGCTCTGATACATAATCAGTTCCTTCTTTCACCTTTAGGCTCATGATTTTGAACTTCACCTTGCTCTTCTGATCCACTGGTTTTTCATTGTTTTCTGGGGGTTCTACAAACTTGAATACTAACAGAACAATTGAAACCCAGTAAACGTAGTTGTGGAAGTCAATTTAACATCAGAAAAAGGGAAAAAAAAGCAAAAAATCATGGTCAAACTATCTTAATTAAGTTTCTCAATAAATATAGGGATTCTCTTCTACCAGAAAAAGGAACTGGCAAATGCACGTGTTAAATTATTACCTGTTGCTATTATACTCTCACCAGGAGCAAGAATGGCCCCAGGAGGACGCATGAAACAGCTCTTTGGTGCAGTTGTTTGGAACTAGAACAACAATGACAATACATTATCAGGTAGAAGAAGAAGCGGCAATAAAATAAATATGGCAAAATACAATGTCGTGTTAGCCTAAATCAAAATCAAGCATATTTGAGACCAAATAATCAATAACAAATTTCAATTCTTCATCTACTTAAAGCAAAAAACTGTATAAGAGACAGAGAGGCAGGTAGAGAGTAAACAAATAAAAGAAAACTTCTCACTTTCCATACCTTGAATGCTACATGAGACTTGCTCGTATTTTTAATTTTAATAGCACTTTGCACTTGTTTTCCAGGTTCATCTGCACGGAGTAGAAGGAAACAAGAAAATCATTACAGAAAAATAAAAAAGAATTCTGCGAGTAATTGTTTTATCAATTATCCTGTTCCAGAATGTTAACATTTGCTGCATGCAAAAAGTATGAGTTACTGCCACTATTCAGGAAAAAGTAGAAGTTCTAGAAGAGGTGCATACAAGCTCGTGTGCGTGTATGTGGCGCGTGAACTAGGTTACTAGTTTGTACCCACTGCCACAAGGTTCCCCGTCCTATTTTTTCCTGTTTTTTCCATTCTACCATAGTTTGATCTTGCAGCTCTCAATATAGCAACTTTTCCAATTCATTATTACTTCATTACCTAAGCACGTGAAAATTTGGAACGTGTTTTTTTCTCCTCCGACAACTAACCTCTGTGTACATACGCAATAAACAAACATGGGCAGAAAAAGACACTTTCTCTTGTTCCTGTTTCCTTTACCATATAAGGCCAAAACTTCTTCAGTCTCTCCTTCCAAACTCCACATTTGACTTGTAACAAAAGAAGACAAAAGAAGAGTGACCAGAGAAAAAAAAAAAAAAGGGAAAGATTGGTGCTTTTGAAGCAACACTTTGCTGAAATACCGTGTTAAAACTCCAATTTACAGCTAAATTGTAATTGCATGACATGAATTTTCACTTCTTTCCCTCCCGATTTCGGAGTCAATATATCCCGATCAGATGTTCAAGGAGAAAGAAGTTAATTTTGTATATGATCATGATTTTCTTGAAAGCCTTCCATTTTTCTACAAGAACTTCAAAATCGAAAAATTTATTTAAAAAAATCAATTTAATCCATATTTTATAGCTATAAAAAGAATCAATTTCAATCCATCTATCAAAATCGCACACAGATCAATCCTAATTCAAATAGATAAAACCTAATTTTCAAATAAATATGAACATACAAAAAAATTCCAGTAAGTAGAAGTCGAATTTCAAGAAAAATAGTCCAAGAAGAGTAGAAATCGTCCGTACAAGGAAAATAAAGCTTGTTAGGGGGATCGAGCTTCAAACGACGCCGTGTGAGGAGCAGAGATCTAGCAACGGAAGAAACCGAGGAAGGAGCATTTCCTTGGGCACTCGATCCCTCCACCTGAGAATGGCTGTTGTTATAGTAACTGAGTTGATGCTGATGATGAGGAAAAGTAGAAGAAGAAGATGCCGTCGTCGAGTTAGAGTTTCGGAACGGTAGCTTGAAGAGGCCCCATATTTTTCCGTCTGATGAAGAAGTTTTTTCATCCTCGATCGCCATTTAGCCGGAATTATCCGTCGCCGGAATGTGTTATCTCCGTCGTTTTTTGGTGGCTCGGATATATTCTGCCTTTATTGAGTGACTTTTGAAAAGCTCTCAGTTGGAGCCTGGTGGGGGATAATAAGGAGCATGTAGCTATTAATATAACGTTTTTTAATATACAGTTGCGTGCTTGCGATTTAGTTCAAATGGAGTGGAAGATAACCTAAAACGCACTTTATCCAAGTCATTGACTCTCAACCAACCCCGTTCCGCCTTGTAATTCCCGTTTCCATTCCCGCCATGGATGTGCTTCGTTACTCGGTAGGCTCTCGATTTCCTACAACTCACCGCCGTAGTTCATTCCGTGCACTTCACCGCCAATGCTTCTTTGCCACAAGGTTGGCCACTGGACTCCTCATCCGCTCTCGTTCCGATTCCTCACTATCCAATCTCTAGGGTTTCATTTCATATTGCATTAATATTCATGTTTTTTGAGTTATTTTTAGGTCGAGTTTAAGCCTTCCGTTTCCAGAACATAATGCAAAGCACTATAAAGAGCTCCAAGCAGCTGTCAATGTTGTCGAGAGAGCTTGTCGTCTCTGCGTTGATGTAATTTCCTGTTCGTCTTCTTTTCCATTGCAAATGCAGTTTACTTTTGAATATGAAAGTTTCCATTAATGATTCTTAGGTGCAAAAATCTTTGTTCTCAAATGATGGAAAAGTTGTGCAAAAAGTTGATCGGACACCAGTTACGGTTGCAGATTTTGGAGTTCAAGCTCTTATAAGTCTGGGTAATTTCTCTATAAGTTGCTTCCTGACAAGTTTTACAAATTAAAAAACAGCTCATTCTATATTCATTCACTTTTCAGTTCTGTTTTCTTCAATGTTGCAGAGATGAGCATACTATTTCCTTCTATTCCTTTGGTGGCTGAAGAGGACTCAGCGTTTTTGCGTGAAAATAATCTTGTGGATGCTGTCGTTGAAGTGGTTGCAGATAAATCTGCTTCAGGAGATAAACAGCTAAGTCAAGATGATGTTCTAAAAGCAATTGACAGAGGGGGGAAGGATGCCTATGTGTTTGGATCTAGACCAGCTACTTACTGGGTGAGCTTACGATTGCATTTGGTATATGTCATTTAATTCCATGTTAATGGTAATCTAAACGTTTTATTTTTTACAAAGAGGGCGATATTGAAGGAAGATTTCCTTAAAATAGATAAATAAAATCAACAGTGTTTTGGCATTTAAACCAGAGAAAAATGAATCCTCCAAAATTTGGTAGAAATTAAAAGACAAAACAACTAAGGGGATGGGGTTCTTCCTACGTGATTGCAGTGCATGTTTTGTGGTTTTGCTGCTATGAAATTGCCGTGTAGCAGGGCGTTGTCACAGATGTATGTCATTGACTAGCCGTCTACTGCTGATGTCAATCGTGCATGTATACATATTATTTTATTCTCGTCATTTTCTAAAGCTTGGTCCAAAGCATAAATTTTATAGCCTTCTTGCAGGTATTGGATCCTATTGATGGGACTCGGGGATTCGTGAAAGGTAGTGAAGCTCTCTATGTGGTAAGTTCCGTTTTTGCTTGTTTCTATTTCCTCCTCCTTCCATATTGGGTTACTTTAAACCTATTCTTGTTTTTGGTCTTGAGAAATAATGTATTGTTTGTTTCTGTTTCCCCCTCCTTCCATGTAAGGCTGCTTTAAACCTCTTCTTGTTTTGGTCTTGAGAAATACAGTAGAGGTTTGTTCAAAGCAATGATGTGTGTGACATTAACTTATTTTCCATTTGCTATGTAACCATAAAATTGGGAGCTTCTTTCAGTTTACACCATTTGTCTGTGAATTACATTTTGTGCAGGCGTCAGTGATGTAGAGCTTAAATGCTTAACCTGAGGAAATATTACATCAAAAATTTCGGAAGTACTTGATATTTTTATCTGCATTCTGGACTGAATATACATGGATCAGTTACAAATTATCTCTATACTTGATCCATCACTCCAGTTCTTGTTTTTGAGTTATATTGATATAGAATTCCTTTTGACATCTCCCCGTCAATGAAAATCTGCAAATCAGGAGCCAATAATTCTGTTTTACGTTTCATTATTTGTCTCTCTTCATCTTTATTGAACACACGGATGGGAATATGCATGTTTTGACTATTTTGTTAATAGCTTCTATGTATTTCTTAATTTCATTTTGGTGCTTAGCTAAGAGCATTGCTGAAACTTTAAGGTAGGTTTGGCTCTTGTAGTTGAAGGCGAGATTGTTTTAGGCGTCATGGGCTGTCCTAACTGGCAAGAAGAGTATTCTGGCAAATTCACCAGTAATATACAGGAATACAGTAATACCGCAACTAGATCAGGGGTCATTATGATATCTCATGTTGGGTGTGGAACATGGAGAACACGATTATGGAATACACAAATTGGTGACACCAGAATTCCTCAAAATTGGATCAGGTGCTTTGTTGATGGGCATCACCTCATTCACGAGGCACGTTTTTGCATTCCAGAAAGTCAAACCTGGGAGTCGATGCCATTATCAAGTCAATTTAATGCAACGACTGATGCTGAGTGTGTTGAGGAGAAACAGGTTCTTCTTGTGCAGACTTGCTGTGGAAGGTATGCCTCTATTTCAAAGAGAGTGCAATCCCTTAGTATTCGCATTTTCCTGAAATCTGATCTTCTTATTTATTGTGACTTTTGATAATTATTAGATCTCTTCCATTGTATGCCAAGCAAATTTCTCTTCCGAGCACGTTATTGAATATTCCTTAATTTTGGCTTGGCTCAATGTGGAAATACTCATGTTGCATGTATTGTGTGCATACATATTAAGGGGGAGTGTATTCAAATAAAAAGTTGTTAGAATTGATTGATCATAGATGTTGATTAGTAGAGCAAAAGCTAGGATGACATATTTATATGAAGCTGCCACATCTTTTACTTCATCTTTATTGAACCTGTATTTCTGAAAATGAGGTGTAAATCTTTCCAACTTTTGAATCACGTAGTTATATTTGAATGTCGTCTCTAACATTCTGTAATCTTGTTCTCCAGTTTCTTTATGCGCATGATATTTGTTTGCCTGTATCTGTGTGTCATCTATTGACATTAGAAAACTTCCAAAAGCTTGCATTGTTTATCATACTTCATTTTAAACATGTGCAAAAGCATCCTGCATAACTCTTCTTATGGAAGCTTCAGGTTGCTACCTTGCTGGTGGAGTTTCTAACTTACATTACATCCTCCATCCCTTTCCTGAATATCTCTCTGGGGAAGTGCAAGAAAAGGGGAAGGGAAGGTAAGGTAGAGGGATGCTGGAGGGATTGGACAATCAGGCAACTGGTTGGGGGAATTTGTTGTTATTTTATTTTGACGATGATATAATTTCTCATGGCAAAGGTAAGGACATTTTATTAAAATAGTTATGATCTGCACTTGTACAGACTATTCCCCCACCCCCACCCCCAACTCCTGCAAGAATAGAACTGTGTAATGCCACATTTGTTCATAGGAGGTGGTCGTGGAGTGAGAAATCCCCTCCCTTATGATCCCCCCCAACCAGAGAGGCCCTAAGATCTTTCATCAAACTTTTAGGTGAACAATTATTATTAACCTCCTCTTGTGTGACATTAGTTTGTGTATCTGGGATCACTGGTTTGAGCAGTTACTCCACTTCCTTCCTCCAACATTGCCAGAATTTGTAAAATTTCTCTTTAGTATTCTGTGGTGATACTAGATAATTGTACACCATTTTTACATTTACATGGGGTTAATAATGATGAATCTGAAGGAATAACCTTCTGCTTCAATGGGAGGAGTGGCATGCGAGGCATGTGCTCTATGATGCCTTATTGACTCGGTGTCTACCCTCTACTATGCTCATGGAAGTCATTTTTTAACTTTCATAATCCACATGGTGATCTGTCTTGTCATGCTCTACATTTGAAATGCAGCAGAATATTTTTCTTCTTTCTTTGTTAAAGAAAGAAATATCTGTTTATATGTCTTGAATGTCAGATGTTAGATTATTGCCTCGGTTGATATATGAATTTTACATTGTACATGATTCTTCTGCATGCCTTTTGTGTACAGTCTCTGTAAATATTTGATGGTAGCCTCTGGAAGGGCATCTGTTTTCTTTCAGCGTTCAAAGACTCGAAGAACAATCAAGGTATTATCCTAGTTTCTGGTTATCTCTGAATAACTGTAACGACACAATTAATGTTTAATCTTGTCAATAATATATAGGTCTGGGATCATGCTGTTGGAATCATATGTGTCCATGAAGCGGGAGGAAAGGTATGTTGCACTAAATTTGATCTCCATTTGGATGTTTCATTAATTCAGCTTGCAGGCAAATAATTTCATTTTAAAGGGATGGATGTCAGCAGTCCTTAGTATTTAATCTGGTTAAAAGTCATTATAACCTGTTGGATCCAAGTATTATGCATGACAAATGATGATCATCAAGCTTCACCTCTTTTTCTCAAAGGACAACAATAGAAGGATGGTCTGCAGTTTATGAAGGAAATGATTTCTTTAGTATTATGAAATTCTTATTGTGATTCTTATTATAAAATTTATTGATAATAGTAAAATTGTAGACAAAAACATGAGGTGATGATTTTTGTTTTAAGGAAAAAGTTGGGCAGCATTCTTTGTGGAGAATCTTTTTTCGTTATGTTCCAATAGGGAAGAATAGTTGCAAAAGAGAGATGACTTGTAAATATAAAACAGATTTAGAAATGGGTCTTCTGCTGTTACAAACAAGTTCGTGCTAATGATCCTACCTCTTAGAAGTATCATTTTTCTCATCCTTGGGAACATAATGCAGTGATCATGGTCTAGGATAAGAACATACGTGATTGCAGCTTCCAACATTTTCCCTCCATTATATATGTTAGTCGAAATGTCTTTGAGTTTGTTCCTGCTTTAGGCAGACTATATTAATGCAGAAACTGTACTTGGGGTTCAGTTCGAATCCCCTCAGGGTCACTGAAGTGAGTATCTGACCGTAAACTTCAGGTCCATGGGATTAGTCGAGGTGCGCGAAAGCTGGCCTGAACATCCACGGTTATAAAAAAAAAAATTATACTTGGGGTTATACATTTTGCCCTATCTTTCTTTTTCTCAAACATATAATAAACTACTTACCATAATCAGGTGACCGACTGGAGAGGAAGTCAACTTGATCTTGCTGCAGATGAGGCAGAGCGAAGGGTCATATTTCCTTCTAGTGGTATTCTAGTGACAAATAAGAGCATTCATTACCAGGTACTAGAGATGATCTCCTCAAGTTGATTATTCTTACATGGTTCACCATTTTATCTCTATTTTTCCCTATTAGTACAATAATTCTTAATTTTTCTCAGTAATTTATTTTTAAACTCGAGCCTGTAGTGGCTTTTTTTAGTTTAGAAAGATTCTTGAAAGCATGTATTGTTGTAAGAAATACATTGTCGAATCACCATTAACATCCATGTTCTTTAGTTATTTACTGGTAAGATCAACTGAGATAGACACTTGTTCATTTTTTAAGCTTCCATGTGTCATCCATTTATTTTATTTTATTGTTTTAAATAGAGAAATTAGAGTGGACTGGCTGTATTTCTGGAAAGATTTGGAATCTCAGTGACCGGACAGGTGTTGTTTTTTCTTCATTACAAAATTAAGCAAAGTTGTGATCATCCCATTATGATAATATTATTCCTGAATGTGGGCTTGCATTGCATGGCTATAAACAAGTATATGCATTCTTCTTCTACTTAGTCCCCGTTTGGTACGATCTAAGTCAAAGTTAACAATTAATTTTAATCACACATTTCATGGGTTCCATAACTTTTCGATCACACATTTCATCAACTTTTATCAAAATTTACTCAAAATTTGATTTTAATCGTTACCACACGGGGATTTATTATAATTATATGTGCGTGAAATTGCTTAGAACAGTAAGCAAGACATGCTGTCAACAAACACATATCTAAAAATAGATATAATTTAATAAAATAATGAAATTAAACATTTTTAATATTCAGGGTTTGTTGTGGGGATGATCAGAAGGTAACCACATAATAATTAACAAATAATCCACCTAATATGTGCACTGTTTGCAGGTCAACTTTGGGACGTAAGCAATTTGTATTTTTGGGATTCATGCACAACCAAACCTGAACTTTTTTCTGTAAATCATAACCTTTTTTTAGCATATGATGATGATCTTATGAATTCCCAAAAGTATGTATTGAATACTTATAGATAGTACGGCCTTGGCTTAGGGATGTCTCGACTCTTGAAAAGGAAAAAATAAAAAAATCACTAGTTTATAGACTCCTAAAATAAGCAAATGCAAAGAGTGAAATAAATTTATAAATACTATTTTTTAAAAGTATTATTTAATATATTATTTCTTGATTTAGTTTTTAATAACTAATTTTATATGTTTTAATATGTAAATTATTCAAAAGCCTAATATTTAGATTGCTTAATAGACTTGGTTAAATTAATAAAAAATTATTAATTAAAAGCATGTTTGGCTAAGCTTAAAATCCAATTAAAATGGAAAATATAATCTTTATTGGGTCTCACTCATCTAATAAAAGTCAACAAATTAGTTTTTCAATTTTAATTCGATTTTAATTTTTACCGAACACACCCTAAGTTACGAGTTGGTAAATGATATTTTTGGAAGGTGTGTATAAACGACAGAAATGAATGGCGAAAAAGTAAATAATAATTGTGAATTTTACTAAATTTATAGATAGAGTGTAACATGTGGAAATAAATGCTCTTGTTCAAGAAAGTTGAATTTGAGAGGTGTGACTATGTTCTAGAACATAAAGTTAATTCTGAGGACCAAAATAATTCAAAGGTTCCTATTGGTTTTCGTATATTTGCTTAACTACGACGGCTAAAAATTAACATCATGTTGTTCGATCCACATTCTTGAAAAAATACATTATTTCAATACTCGTTTTCAATCACACAATCTTCAATAAAATAATATTATACGTAAATTTAAAATTTTTTCTTTTTTTTTTAATCACATATTTTCCATTACATCACTATTTAAAATGCATTCTTAATGTAGGGACTAAATTTAAATTTTAAAATGAAATAATTATAATAGAGTGTGGACAAAATACAATCGAGAAAAACGCTATTATTCTACCTTTTTCAGGGTGGGGTATGTGGCTTACTAATGTTGATTACAGCTAATATGGGAAGAGATGCAACCCGCTGGAAAACGATATTTGAAATTGTCAAATTCACTTGTAATTTCTCTAAAGAAGGGGACACGTCGCCGTTGTATGAAACTGGGACGGCCAATCCTTTTGACTTCCATTTCGTCCCTTTCTCTTTGCTATATAAATATATACCACAAACTCCACATTTTACAACACGCTCTCTATCTCTCTCTCTCTCTAGATATAAGATAGTAATTCGACTACAACTTCAACTTAATAATTGGCCAAAGAAATTGTGAAAACAAGACAATGGGGAGAGCACCGTGTTGTGATAAAAATGGACTGAAAAGGGGTCCATGGACTACAGAAGAAGACCAGAAACTCGTTGATTATATACAGAAAAATGGGTATGGAAATTGGAGGACTCTTCCGAAAAATGCTGGTTAGTATATATATATATATATATATGAATCTCCTCTTTGTTTGAATTGTTTTATTTCACGAGTTTTGTGCTGATGGGATTTGGTTTTTGTAGGGCTACAAAGGTGTGGAAAGAGTTGCAGACTGCGTTGGACTAATTACCTTCGTCCTGATATCAAGAGAGGAAGATTTTCTTTTGAAGAGGAAGAAGCTATTATTCAACTCCATAGCATCTTGGGAAACAAGTATATATTTCATTGTGTCTTCTTTGTGTTACGAACTGGATTTGATTTTATGAGTGAGTTTTGTCTAAAGTTGAATTTTGTTTAATTGTAGGTGGTCAGCTATTGCAGCTCGTCTTCCAGGAAGAACAGACAATGAAATCAAGAACTACTGGAACACCCACATTAGAAAAAGGCTTCTTCGAATGGGAATAGATCCTGTAACACACATGCCTCGTCTTGATCTTCTTGATCTCTCCACAATTTTAAACTCATCTCTCTGCAGTTCTTCAGAAATGGATTTTTCAAGATTTCTGGGAATGCAAAATCTTGTAAACCCTCAACTCCTTGAGTTAGCCAATCTTTTATTCCAAAACCAAAACCAAGATTTTCTGCTACAAAACAATGCCCAAGACTATCAAACTTGCAATAATTCACTACTCCAAAATCATATGCCACCATCAGTACAACCTTGTACTACGTTGGAAACAGAAACTCCGAGTGGTCCACTCTCTAACGTCGAACAATTCCATCCATCAGATGTCACCAGCTTCAACCCACAAAATTGCCAACTAAATGAGTGGCAAACCAATCAAATAGTACCTTCTCTGCCAGAACATTATGTACCCTTATCAGACTATGGATATGATCGTGTATACGGTTCGGATCAATCTAACGTGGATCATCCTCCATCAGAAACTTCAACTTTTCAATCCAACGGCAACAGTAATTTCAGCAGCTTTCAATCAGTTTTGTCAAATATATCAAGCGCTTCATCAAGTCCAACTCGATTTGATTCGAATTCTATCAAATTGACCAGCAGCAGTACTGAAGAAGAGAAGGAAAGTTACTGCAGTAATTTGTTGAAGTTTAATATACCAGATATGTTGGATGTTAATCAGTTCATGTTATAAACTGAGACGCTATAATATTAATTTTTCGGTAATTTCTGCAAAAATAAGAAGAATCCTTGTCTGATTAATTCGAGTAATTCATATCTTTGTGCTGATAAATATTAGTTTTTTAACTTGCCCAATGGGCATTAACAGTACCAATCCAAACGGTTTCATGGATCCCAACAGTCGACCACCGGTGAAAGCGCCGCCGGCAGTGGCCGGAATATAGGCGGTGACACGTGTAACCACCGCCTGCTATATAATAACATAACTTCCGTTTCACGTATAAATAAAGTGCATTTTTATATTTGCATGGCTATTGTATTAAGCAGTGGTTGGTTGGACAAAGGAGAGACAAAAGGTATTGGGGACCATTTGGAAAGGCTTTAAAATCATGGGGTGGTTCTTGTGCTAATTCTTATTTTTGTCCTTCCATGCAATTAATGAGGCCACGTGTCACGTCAGCAGAGGAGACGTGGTCTAAATAATATTAGGATGTGGTCCCACTTTAGGAGGCTACACTCGTCAGCATTTGACCCGATTTGCTGACGTGGTCTAAATAATTTATGAGTTTTAAAAAATATATTAATCAATAATCATTCAAATATTTTGAAATTTCACATATTTTGCGCCATATTTAAAAAAAAAACACGATGAAAAACATTTCGTCACATCGATACATAAAAATTTAAATATTTATAAAGCGAATCAAGTCTCTTTAATTTGTCCTATATGATTCTAGACCACAATTTTCATGCTCTAAAGATAACATTATTAGTTAGATATTAGGTCCCTGTTTGGTACGCATTATTTTTTTCATTCTCATTCTTCTACTCATTTTCAACCACACATTTTTCAATAAAATAATATTTTCCATCACATAAATAAATTTTCTTTCATTTTCAACCACACATTCTCCATCAATTTACTATTCCATAATACATTCTTTCAAAATAATGTGGCTCAAACACACCCTAGATATCACTAAAAGATGTGTATGGCACTTCCAATTATAAGCATTCAAAACTTGAAGGGTGATAGATAGATAGATCAATTTTATTTTAATTTTCGTTTTCAAAACACATAATAAAATAAATGCCCAAAAAATATTGGGAAATTACAAAAAATATTTTTACAGAATAATTTCAGATACTCACATGGGAGCTAAATATTGTAAAAAAAAAAAAAAAAATGGACCCCACCTATTGTGTGTGTTCTGTAGGTTTTCTGTAAAAAAAAATTTCTGTAAACTAAGCTTTGTTCAAAAATATAGGTGGTCTGTCTCAACTAGCCTACGGACTAGCTCAGACAGAGTAGTCCCCTAGGCTAACATAACACATATTTCTTTGTTAGAGATAAAATTAAAAGAATGTACATGTGAGGTTACTCGTCTTCCAATTTGAAAGCAGTTTTTTTAATTGTAGCGATCGTAATTCAATTTCTCATGTATAGACTTAATAATCAAGTGTTAGTGTGACCTCTAATTTGAAAGTTAAATGGGTAATTGACACAAAACAATCATATCCTTTACAAGTTTTGCACAAAACAACTATATCCTTTCATTTTTACGCAATAATCACTCAGATCAAGCAAATGTTGTCCAAAGGTTCATATCTTTTCAATTGGCATATTGAACTGTCAAGATTTTTTTATTTTTTTTTTCAAATTTTCCCAATCATCAAGAAAATGACAAATTTACTCTCCTTTAATAATCCAAAAAAAAAAAAAATTACAGACAGAGTTCCAAACTTTTTAAAAAATAAAACGAGTTTCACTTCAAATAATTTAATAAAAATAAAAGTTAAAAAAATTCCTTTCTTCTCCAACCAACCCCTTCCACCACCCCCTCTCGCGCCATCATCACCATCTTGCTCACCAACGTCACTAAAATATAACTTCCAATTGAAAGCATTTACTAATTCTAATCCAATTTCACACCTATAAACACGAGAAATGCTATAGGAACATGCTTAAATCCAGGGAGAACACATGTCGAAGTCGGATTGGACAGTTTTTTTTTAACACAACACCCAATCATTTCCCTACACATCACCTCGTCTCCTTGTTTCCTGTTTTTGGGCCTGGATGAGTGGCTCTTAAGCAAGAATAAACCTGCAAGTACCGACTTTTTTTTACAGAAGTTCAATAGGGTGCTGCATTAGCCTTTTTTCTTTTTCTTTTTCTTCCAATGAAAATCATCCAAGTATAATTTCTGTTGATTTTCCGGTACCTATAGTCAAGAGTTGGCCTGGCTTCAAATTTTCAATAAATTATGTACATTTTACAAGTACAAATTTTATTATAATGACTCAATCCCCGACAATCATCAAAGACTTAAAATCTCTTACGCCAAAACATGAAAAATACACAAATGATTGAATTGTACAACCTTTTTTCTACGACTTTTATCAGAGTACAACAATTGAAATTCGGAAAACCAATAACTTTCCTCCATTTGTGAAACTGCAGCCTCAAATTCATCCATATTTGGCACTGTAGTCAACTCTTAAGGTCAAACCATGTTACCCCAATAGCCACTATTTACGTCAGCCCTACGACACAACTACGTCAGTTATATAAATACATTATACATACAGCCCCTTTTTTCCTCTCTGTCTGTCTTGAATTAATGGGTTACGGTATTTGACCAAACCGACCATATCCGAATGGGAAGAAATCGCGTTTGTCTTTCTGGTTATCTGTGGGTCGACCGCCCAGAAGAAAAAGGGCAATTGGAAGTTTTGTGAAAAAGTTGGTTTGTGTCTTTTGCTAGTGTTTCTTACCCGATTTGTATCTCTTGTGTTCTTCCTTGTAAAATACTTTAGTTGACAGAACATCACTGAGAGGAAGTTGTGTACAAATTAAGGAAGTTTTGGGAAAACCTATGTTTTTTCTCCTCTTGTTCGTATAATGCAAATTGACTAGCTACTAGAATATTAAGATTGTAGAAGATGTGACCTAATTCAAAAATTATAAGTTAGAGACGCTACGAGTTGAATACTTAGGAAGGTAGGATTTCACCATGATGTATAACTACAAAAAGTTGTCGCAAATTGTCTCGTTGATGAGCATAGTTCTAATTGAATGAAATCTATCTACGAGCCATCCACCCCATATTGGATATGATGGAAAGTTATCCTATCATCTTGTTGTTTCTTGTAGGTCGACGAATCAGAGTTAAGCACTACTATCTAAATTGATATGTAACAGAATTACTCTAATGAGGTAACATTGTCTCACAATGATACTTTAATTAGATTAGCACCTACGTGTTTGCAGGAGATCGTACCCCGAATTCACAATATGATTAGTTTGCCTAAGAGGACCGAGCTATTGGGTTGGAGGTAATAGTCATTCTCTTTATAACTATTTATAATGCCATAGAAATGGTTGTCGACACAAAAAGTTATACAAATTTTCTCATTTCTTAAACCCTATATAATTTATATCTAAAATTATACTTTCAACATGGTATGTTAGGATCATGGGTGTTGAAGTTGGACAAGACCCAACCTGTGTGAATACATCGACCAAGTTTCTTGTTTGACTTGACAATTGAATAATTCAGAAAGTTGTACAAAAAATAATTCAGAAAACTGTGGGGCTACTCTCTTTGTGTTTCAATTTTGTGTTTTAAGTCTTCATTTTGAGATTGTTGAAAATGTATTCTTTTTAGCATTTTGAAAACACCCAAAATGCGTTTTGAAAATTTTGACTCGATTATAACTGAAAACACTCATTTGTCATTTTGAGTTTTCTTTGTAAATTATAAACTTGTTTTCAAAAATGCGTTTTCGAAAATAGGAAAAAGAACGCGTTTTCACTGTTATAAAAAATCAAAAACAAAAAAACGACTTAAAAATGGTAAAGAGAACATGTCCTGATTTATTCTAGTTAAGATGAAGACTAGGATGTACAAATTTGAGTAACATCATGCATGTTTCCAAAATAAATAAATTAATTAATATAATTGGCTAAACAAAATTTAGGATTCGACGACAATGAATTTCTTCGTACCTTCAACTTGTGTTAAAAACGTCTTGAACTACATGACAATCGAGCAAGACTTATAATTTATACTACTATCATAAAATGCTGGTATTTAATTAACATGTTAGTTTATAAAATAAAAGCTAGTAATTAATAATTTAATTAAAAATATGATCTCTTGCTTCAGTAGTCAAAGTTAGTACCAGTCGAAGAGAGTCAAGTTTCACTTTAATTGGATTTGTTCCTAATTTGCAGAAATTAATGTCTCATCAAGAAAAGGTTCTAACTTTTTGGTAGTATATAGAAAGTCATTTGAAACTTTAAATAGGTATCCACATGTCATTTTTCTCACCAAATAATGTGCAGTAGTTGAAATATTTTGGCCCCATTAAATTATTATTGAGCGAGTTGTCAATGCAATGCATACAAATGTATACACTTATACGACTTCTAAAGGATAAATAGGCGTTAGGGACCGTTTGGCAGAACTTTTATTTTTTCTTCAACTTTTTTTTAAAAGAACTTTACGAGAAAGTTATTTTATATCTGTTACCTCTAAAACTCTTCTAGTCAGATAAAATATTTCTTAGAAAATTATTCAAACATGTTCAAAAGCAACTTCTTAATCATATAGTTACTAAAGACTTTTCAAAAACCTTATCAAACTGACATTTAAATAACTTGGGAATATTATGTGTATTTGTAATTTCTTGCGAGTTAAATTATAAGCATATTTTGTAGGTCTAGTAGAACATAAGTATATAGAAGAAATGACATACATATTACTTGTATCTCTTCTTTAATTATGTATACTTTTATTAGGTGGGTAATTGACTTTTTAAGGGTTCATGAACTTTTATTGCCTTATTCTAAATTCTACACAATTACTTTGGACTTTTCAAAAACCTCATCAGACTGATAGTTAAATGGCTTGGGAATATTATGAGTATTAGTAATTTATTGCGAGTTAAATTATAAGCATAGGTCTAGTTGACCGTAAGTGCATAGAAGAAATGACAAACATATTA